AATAGAGATGGAGAGAGTAGGCATACTGCCTAGTTCCTGGTCTGAGCATAAATGCCTCTAGGGTTCCCCATTAAAATGCTGACTTGAATTCTACTCCTGAAACCAATATTGCACTGTATGTCAACTAACTGAAATTTAAATAAAATTTTGAAAAGAAAAAAGATTAAGAAAAAAAGGATGCTGACTTTAGGATCTATACATACATTTTATCATGTTAAGCAAAAAGCCACCGACTCCTATTTTCTCAAGAGTTTTTACTTGGAATGAGTGCTGGATTTTGTCAAAGCCTTTCTCTAACTCATGAAGATAATCACATGGTCTTTGCAGTAATATACTTTCTATTACTGAACCAACCTTGTATAACCTGGCATAAACTCCACTTGGTCATGGTGTATTTTTTTTATCTGGTATTGGAATCTGTCCCCTAGTATTTAAGATTTTTGCATGAATATTCATAAGTGAAAATACTCTATGCTATCTTTATCAGGTTTAGAGTTCAATGTTATACTTCATAAAAGCATCCTTAAGTTTTTCTTATGTATGTACGTTTCCTTATGTATTATATATGCTGTCAAACTATGTAGCATCGAGACTATTTATCTCTAACTTCCGATTTCTAAGTTTGGTAGAAGTCTCCTGTGAAATTATCAGAGCCTGGTGTTTTTGTGTGAATTAATTGCTTGATTAACTCTTTTTCTTCTAGGAAAATTGGTTCTGGTTAAGCTTCCATCTCAAATTGGGTCAATTTTATTAAACTGTATGTTCTTAATTTTCCATTTCCTCTAGATTTCCAAATTTATTTCTATAGATATATATGAAGTAGTCTCTTACTATTTTTTGACATTCTCTTTATTAATAGTTCTTTCCCCCTTCTCATTTCTTATTTTGTACATTTGGGTTTACCACATTGCTTTCTTGACTGGTCAATGGTTTTGGCTAATTTTTCAAAGAATTAGGATTTTGATATATTAATTTGATCTACTTGCTTAGTTTCCACTTTTATTTTAGTAGTTTCTTCTTTGTTCTCTTGTTTGCTGCTTTTGGATCATTTAAATCATTTATTTCAATTGACTTAGGTGATTTTTTAAAGTATTCCATGGATTCTGATATGTAGTATTTTATTTTTTTAGAAATCCTATAATTTCTGTTGTCATATTCCTTTTTATCCATTTGCAGGTAGAAAATCCTTTTTTATTTATTTCATTTCTCATTTCCAGTTTTACTGATTGTGATCAAAGAGGGTGGTTTACATATTTCTACCTTATGAGACCTATCAATGTCTTCTTTGTGCTTTAGTATATGACACAAATCTACATGTTTAAAAAGATACTCTTTTTTTTTTTTTAAGGTTTTGTTTTTGGGCAGGAAGAGGGGTGGGAGGCCTGGGGGGCTCATTCAGTTAAACATCTGACTCTTGATTTTAGCTCAGGTCATGATCTCACAGTTTGTGAGTCTGAATCCCGTGTCAGGTTGTGCGGAGCCTGCTTGGGATTCTCTCCCTCCCTTCTCTCTCTGTTCCTCCCCTACTCACATGCTCTCTCCAAATAATAAACTTTAAAAAAAATTGTAATAAATAATATTTTATTTTTTGGGCTCCTGGGTGGCTCAGTCGTTAAGTATCTTTCTTACTTTGGCTCAGGTCATTATCTCACAGTCCATGAGTTTGAGTTCCACATCGGGTGAACTCAAGCCCCACTCTGAGTAAAACACGAGCCCCAGGTAAGCCTCACTTCTCTCTCTTTCTGACCCTCACTCACTTGCACCCTCTTTCTCTTAAAAAAAAAAAAAAAAAAAAAAAGCACGGGGCGCCTGGGTGGCTTAGTCGGTTAAGCGTCTGACTTTCGCTTAGGTCATGATCTCGCGGTTCGTGGGTTCGTTCCCCGCGTCGGGCTCTGTGCTGACTGCCAGCTCAGAGCCTGGAGCCTGTTTCAGTCTGTGGCTCCCTCTCTCTCTGACCCTCCCCTGCTCACGCTGTCTCTCTCTCTCTCTCCTAGAAATAAATAAAAAAAAAACATTTAAAAAAAAAAAAAGCAATCTCTACACCAAACGTGGGGCTTAAACTCACAACCTTGATATCAAGAGTCAGGCCCTCCCAACTGAGCCAGCCAGGGGCGCTGAAAATATATTCTTTTATTATTAAAGCATTTTCCACATATTTTAAGTACTATTCATATTCTCTCTCTCTTTATAATTTTTGCTTTGTTGATGTATCCCCAAGGCTGTAATCCACTTCACTGATTTCCTCTTTAGCAGTGTTAAGTCCACTGTTAACTATCAAGGTTTCTAGAAATTTTCTGACTGTTTTCCAAATCTATCCCTTTTATTTTATGGATTCTATTTTCTTCATTTACATATTTGGGTATGTTGAAAATCACATTAAATATTTGCATGAAATATATTTTCTTTTTATTTTAGAGACACTGTGTGAGTAGAGGAGTGGGGGAAAGAAAGAATCTTAAACAGGCTCTATACTAAGTGTGAGCCTGTGACATGGGGCTCAATCCCATGACTCTGGGATTATGACCTGAGCTAAAATAAAGAGTTGGATGCCACCCAGGCACACCAAATATTTGTGAGTCTAGAGTACCTTTTAGATTTCCCTACATGCTCTAAATCCTTTAATGTGAATTTTCCCATTGCTGGATATGTTACTCTTTCTTATTCCGGACTTTTTTTTTTTTTTAAAGTTTATTTATTTTGAGAGACACACAGACAGCATGAGCAGTGGAGGGGCAGAGAGGCAGGAGGAGAGAGAGACTCCCAATCTGTCAGCACAGACCTGATGCAGGGCTCAAACTCATGAAATCATGAGATCACAACCTGAGCCAAAACCAAGAGTCAGACACTTAACCAACTGAGCCACCCAAGAGCCTTCTTGTCATGGACTTCTTTATGTATTTTATAATTTTTTACTCTAAGCATATCTTCTGTGGACATTAAATAAACTGAATATATATACTGCTGGATACTTAACAAATTTATAGAGGATATAAAAAGATGACTAATACACTGGTCAACAGAATCAAGATACAAAAAGATCTTGATAGAGTAAAATGAAATTAATCTTAAAAGAAAGTTAAGATATAAATGTAGAATTTTGTATGTGGGTTCTAAACATTAACCACAGAAATTCAGAGATGAAGGAAATCAGCCTAATATCAACATCTGCAAAAGGAGTTCGGTTTTTAGTTGCTTGTAAAAGCAATGAGACAACAGTATGATATTGTAGCCAAAAAGGTGATCCTGCATTAATGGGAAAAGAAGAGAAATTTTGTTCAATTTTAGGTATTAAACTTTTAAGAGAAATGTTAATAAAAGAGAAATGTTCAGAAGAGTGTGTCCATGTCAGCAAAGAAACTCTAACAATTATTCAGTGTCAGGGTCAAGGCCTGCATGAGGCTCTATGCTGACAGCTCTGTGCTGACAGCTTGGAGCTTGGAGCCTGGAGCCTACTTCCAGATTCTGTGTCTCCCTCTCTCTGCCCCACTCCCACCTACATTCTGTGTCTCTCTGTCAAAAACAAATGAACATTAAAAAAAAAAAAAAGTATTCAGTGATTATTAGATGGTTTACATGCATTAGCTCATTTCATCTTTACAAAAGCCAAGAGACAGAGATCTTTTCTAGGGATAAGCAAGAATCAGAGAGGTAATTCACAGCATCTATTTATATCATGAATTTTGTTCTAGTTCTTATTTTCGTTTATGTTAATATTAAAGCCTCTTCATATTCCTTTTAAAAGCATATTAAACATAAATTCTAAATCAATACATGAATTAAAGGCTGGTTTTAACCAAATCTTAACGTCCATAGAATAATTCAAGTTGCAACTCATGCAATGGGTTGTCTCAAAAAGCTGCTACAAAAGCAATCCTGGTAATTAAAAAAACAAAAATACCCCACCCCTACATCAATTCCCAATTGGTGTCACATGTTAACAGAGATTACAATGTACCACAACCCAGGCATGCAAAATATTCCCTTAAAAACATAAAACTCCAAGTCTTAACTCATTTAGACATATATACTTATATTTAAAGTGAATGTTAAGGAGGGATTCCTTTCCATACAGGAATATGAATAAGCTAAGAACATGTATTATGCAAAAAGAAGTATATCAGAAGAGTAAGACGATTCAAATAAGAATTTCAAGGGGTACCTCAGTGGCGCAGTCGGTTAAGTGTCCGACTTTGGTGCAGGTCATGATCTCACAGTTCATGGGTTCGAACCCCGCATTGGGCTCTGTGCTGACAGCTCAGAGCCTGGAGCCTGCTTCAGATTCTGTGTCTCCCTCTCTCTCTGCCCCTCACCCACTCACACTCTGTCTCTCTCAAAAATGGATAAATGTTAAAAAAAAATTTAAAAAAAAGAACTTCAAAATATTTTACTGATTATGAATTTATCTTTTTTGGGGAAGATATTAATAAAGAAGCATCAGTAGGTAATATGTCACATCAAAAACTATAGTCAGGATATTACCTTCAAGTAGGATTGTCCTAAGAACCTTAAAAGTACCCTACTTTGTTTTTATATATGTACACAATTGCGTAAATATTTAAATGCTACATAGTTGTATACAAATGACCTTCAGTTGTCTATTTTTCTTTCTCTCCCCCATTTCTTTTTTTCTTTTTTTTATGTTTTATTTATTTCTAGGAGAGAGAGAGAGACAGGGCGAGCAGGGGAGGGTCAGAGAGAGAGGGAGATACAGACCCTGAAACAGGCTCCAGGCTCTGAGCTGGCAGTCAGCACAGAGCCCGACGCGGGGCTCGAACCCACGAACCGCGAGATCGTGACCTAAGCGAAAGTCGGACGCTCAACCGACTAAGCCACCCAGGCGCCCCTCTCTCCCCCATTTCTTAACATTTATCAAAAAATCCTTGTCTCCTATGGAGAGCAGGGGGCAGATAAAGTGGTAGAACAATTTTTCAAACATGTTCTTTGAATTTGTCATCATGCTTGACATTTGCTTTTAGCAGAACATGCTTCTTAATACTTACATCACAGTCTTTCAAGGATTGAAGAAATTCCTGCAGTTTGTCTGCTGTTTTTTCTGCTGCTAGAGATAATATTTTCTGGTCCATTGTTGCTCTATCATGGAACTGTAAGGGAAAGTGTCAAAGTTAGATGAAACTTCCAGAAGTAAATAAGCTTGACTGTTTTCCTTCCCAACCTATTAACTGAGTACTTCATACATATTACCAAGACTGTACACAGCAGCTACTCAATAGGTTAAGGGCTACTCACCAGTATGAGTAGGTGATTCTCATCCAAACCAAAATAATCTGGACAATTCCCTGGAATTTCTATATTAGAAACTTGTATTCTAATCAAGTGATTTCAAAATTTTTGCCCACATTTTAATCTTTTTTAGCATCTACCCAGCACACTACTTACAACAAAGTTAGCACTTAATAGTGTATCAATAATAAATTATGATAAATATACACACAAGAATACTACAACATATAATAATTGACAAATGAATAAATCAAAAACACTGTAAAGGCAAAGTGCCAATTAAATGGTGTAAAAACAAAAAAGAAGTTAAGAAGGCTAATGAAATAAATGTGTGCTCAAATGTCAAGGCATCCCAGGAGAGGAAAGCTTGATGTGAAACTCAGAGATTAAACGTAGATAGTCAAGATAACCAGGTGGTATACTTTATACACTACTGGGAAGCAGAATGACATGAAGAAAGACTTTCATATGGGAACCTGAAAATGAGTATGGGGAAAATGAGGGACATTTTCACATGGGGAAAATGAGTAAACTGCCTGAGCTGAGGTACAGAGTTGAAGTAGGGGAATATAGTGAGTAGGAAGGCTAGAAAAATAGACTGGGAATAAACTGTGCAAGACCTTAAATGCCACGATAAGGGATTTAGATTTTATTCTGTAAATAATAGACAGCAATCAAAACTTCTGGAGCAAAAGAGAATCTGCCTGATTCAGATTCTGCCTATTTCACTGAAAAAGTTTTTGAGGAAAAAGTCTGGTATCAAGCATGTAGATTAAAGTAGGGAGAGAGGGAGGGGCGCCTCAGTGACTCAGTCGTTTATGCGTCCGACTTCGGCTCAGGTTATGATCTCACAGTTCACGGATTCAACCCTGCGTCCAGCTCTGTGCGGACAGGTCAGAGCCTGGAGTCTGCTTCAGATTCTGTGTCTGTCTGTCTGTCTCTCTCCCTCCACATGTGTGCATGCACACGCTCAAAAATAAATAAGAGACTCTTAAATAGAGAACAAACTGAAGGTGGATGGGGGAGATGGGCACTGAGGAGCACACTTGTTGGGATGATCACTGGGTATTGTATGTAAGCGATGAACCACAGGAATCTACCCCCAAAACAAGACACACTGTATGTTAAAATACACTGTATGTTAGCCAATTTGACAATACATTTAAAAAATAATAAACATTAAAAAAATAAAGCAGGAAGAGAGTAAGGATAAGGAGCAGACACTAGCAAGTTATTGAGGGCTACTTCAGTGATAGAGACAAAGGCCTATGTTAGGGTGGTGACTCTGGGAAGCGAAGAGGAAAAAGATGAAATGGAGGTACCTTGGGGAGTAGGATTTAGTGAGCAGCTAAATTATGGGGGGGGGGTGCAGACTGGTGGAAAGCCCACCTGCTCCCCCTCCTGTATTTCCTTTTATGTTTCCAATCCCCATAAATTGCACCACCATCCACTGAGCTACTGAAACCAGAAGCCTGGACAACGTTCTTAACAATTTCACCTTCATCCTCCATGCCCGCTACCAAGTCCTATCAATGGGAACCCCAAATCAGCTCTCAAATCTGCGTACTTCTGAGATCCACTCCTGCCGCGTCACTCCAAAGCCCCATCCTCTCTCACCTGAACGACGACAAAAGCTTCCTCACTTGTCCCTCACACAGCAATTAAAGTAATTTCTTTTTGTTCATGCAGCTTAAACTCCATCTCCACCCTCACCTTAAGACTCTTTAAACACCTGATCTCCTATCAGTGCAATTTCCTGAAGTCGGGATATAAAAAGAAAAGTCCTGCAGGGTCTGGCCCACACCTACCTCTACCCTTAATCACTGTATTAATTAATTAATTCACCCACGCTGAATTGCTGTCAGTCCTTCAAACCCCAAGTTCACCTTCCAGCTGATTTTCTGTCTGGAACCCATACACATAACCTTCCTATCACGCCCTGCCGTCCAATCTTTCAATTCCTACAAATCCTTCAGAGCTCAGCCCCATCTACACTTCCCCCGAAGCTCCGTCTATACGTTCAACACTTCCCTATTAACATCCTTTCAAGGCAACAGCAATTTCTCTTACCATCACCACGCCTTTAACATTAAGTTTCCAACTACTAGATTAAGGACCATACCTCCCCTTGACTATAAACTCCAAGAGGCCAGGGGGCCAGGTCTGGCTTTACCACTGAACCTCCAGTACTTAAGCAAGGTATCTACCTCACAATTAGGCGCCCAACAACGGTTGCTGAACAAATTCCTGAACTCCCTACAACGAAGCGCAAGACCCTGGGTCCGCCCCTTTCCGTTCACTGATTTAATCCTCGTACCAACGATATCAAGTAGGCGTCATTAGCCCCAATTTAGTATGAACATCTTTGGGGATTAGGAGAGGTTAAACAATTGCTCCATGGTTAGAAGGCCAGCAGTGGACGAGGCAGAAATAAAACCAGGTCTGTCCAGCTCCGGACCCCAGGATCTCCTGCTAATTATTACCTCCCCCACCGGGGGGCGGGGGCGGAGAAAATGCAGAAAGGGCATAAGACCAAAAGAGACATGCAGCCAGAAGCGGAATATGCTGAAACCAACCTATCCCAGGAGGTGCATTTGCTAAATTCGACCTTAAGTATTTTTTTTAATGTTTTATTTATTTCTAGGAGAAAGAGAGAGAGAGAGAGAGAGACAGCGTGAGCAGGGGAGGGTCAGAGAGAGAGGGAGTCATAGACTGAAACAGGCTCCAGGCTCCAAGCTGGCAGTCAGCACAGAGCCCGACGCGGGGCTCGAACCCACGAACCGCGAGATCATGGCCTAAGCGAAAGTCGGACGCTTAACCGACTAAGCTACCCAGGCGCCCCTGCTAAACTCGACCTTAAACCAGAGATGAGAAAAACTGCCCGGCGGCGCTTCGGGGCGCACAGCACATCCTCCGCCCAGAGGCGCCGAGCTTGGCTCGGCTCCGGGAAGGAGGTTTCGCGCCGGGGCTTCGCCGAGAGCAACACGTAAACACAAACAGAAACTCTGCAGCGAGGCAGCTGGCGATGCGGCCGTGACCGAGCTACAGAGGCGGAATGGGGGGGAGGGGGGGAGGGTTACGTTCCTCGGGCAGGAGCTGAACCCTGCCTGACAGGAGACAGAAAGATCGAACAGGAGCGCGGAGAGTAGCACGTCCGGGAGGAGGGAGCCGCGGGAACGGAGGGACGCGGCGGCAAACAGCCCCCAGAAGACCCCAGAACGCCAGCTCGGAACGGCAGCCCTCCTGTCCTCACACACCCGCTCCCTGCCCGCCGCGCTGGGTCCCGCCGGCCGCGCAGCGAGCCCCTGCGCCACCGTTACCTCGGCTTCTCCGCGGCAGCAAACGTCCAAAAAGCCCGCGCAGCGGGACGCGGCCGCACTTCCGTCACGAGACACCGCAGGCCCCGCCCCAGTTTTAGTTCCGCTGCCCGTGCGCACGCGCGTGGGATGTACCATTAAGGCAGAAGGGGTCTAGAGCCCTCGGAAGGTCCCACTCCCGGCCTGGGGTGGGCGTAGCTCGCAAACTCGCATTTAGGACCGCAGAGAGCATGCGCAGTGTGGCCCGAATGTAGCGGGAGGGTTGTCTAGACTCGTTAAGCCCTTCCCGTGGACTGTTAGGGAAAGAATCAGTAAGTTAGGGGCCGAATCGGGGGATGGCCCCCACAGGTCGTCTGTGGGGAAGCGCTTGGAAGGCGGAAGGCAGAAGAAGGTGTCCCCCTCCTTGTGCTGGGGAGCTGCCTGTAATCCCTAATTTGTAAACACCACGTGCCCAGGAGGCTTTTTGTTCTTCCCGCTCCGAAACCTCAGCATTTAGGGCATAGCCTGGCAAAGCAGTAGATGTTCAGTAAATATTTGTTAAATAAATAACCATCAGTAGTGGGGCGCCTGCGTGGCTCGGTTGGTTAAGCTTCCGATTTCTGCCTCGGTCATGATCTGCCCGTTCCTGAGTTCGAGTCCCCGCGTCGGGCTCTGTGCTGACAGCTCAAAGTCTGGAGCCTGTTTCAGATTCTGTGTCTCCCTCTCTCTCTCCACCACTCCCCCGTTCACGTTCTGTCTCTCTCAAAAACAAACACTAAAAAAATAATAAAATAACCAACAGTAGAACGAAGAGCAATGGAGGGGAGGGTCCAGAGTCTTAAAAGTAGCTGCGGCACCTGGGTGGCTCAGTCAGTTATGTGTCCGAGTCTTGATTTCGGCTCAGGCCATGGTTCACAGTTCCTGAGACCATTTGGGCTCTGTGCTGATAGCGGGGAGCCTGCCTGGGATTCTCGCTTTCCCTCCCTCTCTGCACCCCCCTCAAAATAAACATTTAAAAGAAAATAGGGTGCAGTAGCAACAAGCGAGCAACAAGCGAGGGAGCCCCTGGCTAGGACCTGGGGTAGGGGTGGGAAAGCAGGGATTAGAAGTCCTTTTCACATCTGGGGTCCTAGGGGAACAGCTGAAGTGGTAGGGTGTGATTGTATTCACGTTATAGAAAAATATCTCTGGCAGGTGAGTGCTGCAGAGACTTTGAAAGAGATGATGGGGGTGAGAAGGACTGAGGCAGGACACCTTAGGGGCTATGAGTTGTCCTGGAGATAGGCGGTTGCAGTGGGGACAGGCGGAGTGGAGCGGACCACATGTGAAAGAGATGAGCAAATCCGGAGAGGTGAGCGAGCACAGCTTGGGGGAGATGTGGGAGGAGCTGAGGAATAGTCAGCTTTGAGTGACAGGTGGGGGTGGTTTGCTACTGCCCAGGAACTGACCCGTTTTGGGAAAGGTTAAGGTTTGGGGAGGGGGCCTGGGGGAGTGGTGATGATGAGGCCTTCTGCTTTGGACTTGCCGAATGTGAGGTTCCCGTGGGGTGGCATGTGAAGGAACACTAAGTTCAGGGGCGTTCAGTCTGGAGCCTGACCCCCCAGTCCCTAGGGGTGGGATGGGTCTACTTGGCCAGTCCTGGAAGAAAGATGGATGTTGGAAGAGAATGATACCTCTTAGCTGTCCAAGCCTGCTCCTTGCTTATGACTCTTATGAAGCAATTTTTACTTCTACTACATTTCTGGTCCAATATTGATCTGTAATACATGTAACAAGCAGCTGATTTGAAAGATTCTTGAAAGGAATCATTTTAGCTTGCCAAGGAAACAGATGACTTCACCTCATCTTCTCCCCATAAAACCCCTCCTTCCCGGGGTGCCTGGGTGGCTCAGTCAGTTAGAGTCCCATTAGCTCTAATGGGCGTTACGCATGCAAAGGAAAAGAACAGACTCAAATGAATAACCTGTTTTCCATCCTGATGCAGGCTTCCTTACTAAGCTGCAAATCTTATTTGTCTGCTTCAATCAACTAGACTCCTACACTGGGCAGCTGGTGATAAACTGACTTTAGAAAATAAAGCCAATTAAAAACAGATTTGCAGGGGCACCTGGGTGGCTCAGTCAGTTAAGGGTCCAACTTCGGCTCAGGTCATGATCTCACAGTTCGTGGCTTTGAGCCCCGCATCGGGCTCTGTGCTGGCAGCTAGCTCAGAGCCTAGAGCCTGTCTTCAGATTCTGTGTCTCCCTCTCTCTCTGACCCTTGCCTGCCCATGCTGTCTGTCTCTCTCTCTCAAAAATAAATAAAACATTAAAAAAAAATTTAAATAAATAAATAAAATAAAAACAAGTCGGCAATAATGGAACTAAATGTTCTTCAGATCTTCTTAACAGTTCACATTTGTGTAATAACATTATAGCTGATATTTTTGCAGGAGTCCAGAGAAAAAGGACACATGGAAGCCTCCTATCATTCAGGATACCCTGTCCTGCAGTGTGAGGGACTTCCTACGTTTGCATGTAAACACACAGCCTGGAGAGCCACACCTTGCCTCTTCCCTAGAGCTCCCGTCTGGGCTACCGTCTGGGCCTATGGCTGTGCACACTAGCCCTATCCTGGAGAGGGTGGACTGGGAAGGATGAGTTTTGAAAAGCTACCAAGAGTGATCTGATGGAAGGTATGTGGGTTTCTTAGGGTACACCCTCTAGGTTTCTTTTTTTTCTTTTTTCTTTTTTTGCCCAGGGTGGAACCCAGCGCGGGGCTTGAACTCACAACCCTGAGATCAAGACCTAAGCTGAGATCAAGAGTCCAATGCTTAACTGACTGAGCCACCCAGGCGTCCCGTGTAGGTTTCTTGAGCTCCTCATCATCTAGGAAAGTGGTTAATAAGGCACCCACCCAGCCCAAGAGCTTCAGTTGTCTGGGTTTAAGGGCAACGTTGCTTGAGAGAAAAATCAAGGTAGCATGGATTAAAAAGTCCGGCACTTAGAAACACTTCATAGTGTTAGTGCCCTCCAGCAATCCCACACTTGGGTATATAGATAGAAGAATTGAAACAGGGCCTCAAAAAGCAGATATTTGTACACCCATAGTCTGTTGACAAAGTCAAAAGGTAGAAACAATAATATCTTCATGGTCAGAGAATATGTAAACAGAATGTGGTATATCCATACAACGGAATAATCTGCCTTAAAAAGGGAGGAAACGCTGTCACTGGCTACGAAACGTGGAGAGATTCTAAGGACATTGTGCTAAGTTAAATCAGCCAGTCATGAAAAGACAAATACTGTGTGGGATCATACTCAAAAGGAGTGAAATTCATAGAAATGGAAAGTAGAGTAATGCTTACCAGGGGCTGGGGAGAGGGGGCGCAAATAAGGAATTATTGTTTAATAGATACAGAGTTTCAGTTTTGCAAGATGAGAAAGCTCCAGGAGTGCCTGGGTGGCTCAGCTGGTTAAGCTTTTGACTCTGGATTTTCAGCTCAGGTCATGATCTCAAGGTTGTGGATTAAGCCCCAAGTTGGGCAGGTGTAGAGCCTGTTTAAGATTCTGTCTTTCCCCTGCTCTGGCTGCATGCGCTCTCTCTCTCTCAAAATAATAAACTTTAAAAAGTTCTGGAGGGGCGCCTGGGTGGCTCAGTCGGCTAAGTGTCTGACTTTGGCTCAGGCCATGATCTCACGGTTCGTGGGTTTGAGCCCTGTGTTGGGCTCTATGCTGACAGTGCAGAGCCTGGAGCCTGCTTCAGATTATGTATCTCCCTCTCTCTCTGACTCTCCCCTATTCACTCTCTCTCTCTCTCTCTCAGAAATAAATAAAAAATATTAATAAAATAAAATAAAGTAAAAAGGTCTGGAGAGGGGCACCTGAGTGGCTCAGTTGGTTAAGCATCGAAGCATCATGACTTCAGCTCAGGTCATGATCTCACATTTAATGAGTTCAAGCCCCACATCGGGCTCTGTGCTGACAGTTCATAGCCTGGAGCCTGCTTCAGATTCTGTATTTCCCTCTCTCTCTGTTCCTTCCCCTCTTGCACTTTGTCTCTCTCAACAATAGATAAAGATGTTAAAAACTTAAAATTAAATTAAAGCTCAGGAGATCTGTTTCGCAATAATATGAATGCACTTAACACTATGAAGTGTAAGCTTGAAAATGGTTAAGATAAGGGGCGCCTGGGTGGCTTAGTCGGTTAAGCGTCCGACTTTCGCTTAGGTCATGATCTCGCGGTTCGTGGGTTCGAGCCCCGCGTCGGGCTCTGTGCTGACTGCCAGCTCAGAGCCTGGAGCCTGTTTCAGTCTGTGACTCCCTCTCTCTCTGACCCTCCCCTGCTCACGCTGTCTCTCTCTCTCTCTCTCCTAGAAATAAAAAAAAAAAAAGAAAAAGAAAATGGTTAAGATAACAAAAAGAAAACAGTTAAGATAATTAGCCAAAAAAAAAAAAAAAAAGAAAAGAAAAGAAAAGAAAAAAGACAATGCTATATGGGCCGTTCACAGGATTGTTAAGGAGAGCCAGTTGAGTTCACCCTGAAGAAATTCCAACTAGGTAGTGTTTGAGATAGAAGTTTAACAGCTTACTATGTACACCCTTAGTGTATATAAAAGTGACATACAGAGAATGCTTCATAAATATTTGTTAAATGGGTGCAAAATCAGGAGCTCATCTTTAGAACGGTATGGTTTTAAATTATCTCAGTGAGGGATGCGTGGGTGACTCAGTCAGTTAAGTGTCCAATTCTTGACTACCGCTCAGGTCATGATCTCCCAGTTCATGGGTTTGAGCCCTGCATTGGACTCGACGCTGACGGTGCAGAGTCTACTTAGGATTCTCCTTCTCTCCCTCTCTCTACCCCTCCCCCACTCTTCCTTCCATTTTCCCTCTCTCTCTCAAAATAAAAAAATGAAGTTAAAAACGTTATCTCAATGAAATGTTCAATTTCAAAACCAAAATGTCGGCTTAAAAGTGTATGACTACTTTTGAAGCTTCCTATGAATTTGCAATCACTGGGAGATTAAAAGTTCAAAACAGTGGGTGCCTGGGTGGCTCAGTCAGTAGAGCATCCAACTCTTGATGTTGGG